TGAATTCGGTAAAGCATCTGTGCAAAAGCTTCAACATGTACTCCTGTTTTAATATTGCTAATCTCTATAATGGCATCAAAATGATTAGGGATTTCAAAGAAGATATTAGCTTCTACAGTACTTGTGTAAATCACACAGTCAAGAGAACTTCAGGTAGATTTAATATTAACAAAATCCTTTTGTCGTTGCATTCCGTTCATTTGGCCAAAATAAACACGCGTTAAAATAAGTGAACTATCTGGTTTTTGCAATGCGGAAGCTTGGTTTGCCAAAGCTCGGGCTTTTTTACATGATATCATTGCAAAAGCAACACGCTTACCTTCTCGAAGCATATTAAGACTCTTTCTCATAGCTTCTGAACCCTTTTCCAGATCATAAAGAATCTTAACAGTTTCGTCTATATATGGTTGATATTTATTATCAAAAATTCATATATCATTATCTCAATACTGTTTTAAGAAAGCTAAAATAGAGTCATTCGCAAAAGCATCCATAGCTACAATATGGATAGCTGATTTTAACAAATCTCACATAGCATTTTCAGATTCTCGTGCATGGACTCTACTAAATATTTGGCGTATGATCGTATTGACTTTATCTAAAATAACTACATATGGTTGCCTTCCATGAAGCTCAATACGATGTGTATTTTCAACCTGGACGATAATAATATCCCAATCACTTATAGATAAACTACCTTCAACTTCTTGATATTGGCATACACGAAGATCCAAATTCTGTAATATTTTAACTTTAGATTTGGTCTCATTGCTAAGAGTTTTGTGATATGAAACCCAGATAAAGCAAGGCAAATTTTCTTTATTTCCAGTTAAAGAGTTGAGAGTTCCTCTTAAAGCTTTTGTTTTACCAGTACCTACAAGTAAACGGATAAGAGTTGTACTACATACAGAACTTAAGAAGTCTGGATAAGTTTCTGGAGCTTCTTCCATCTCTTTTATATTAATATTTTTTCTAGACAATTCAGGGAGTAAACATAGATTTTTTACAATATTAATTAATCTGTCATTCAATCTCCATTTAGATCTTTCTTTCGGTTTGATTATACCTGATGCTTCCTCAAATGCCAATCCCTTATGATCTGGTTTATAGTTTTTCTGCCGATAGTATCTGAGTATGAAATGCCCATTGCTTCGAAGAAAGCCATATAACTGATCCTTCTTATGTTTGATTTTGCAAATGGGGCATACTTCTAATGATTGAGATTGAAAGTTAACAAATCTCTTTCTAATGCTAGCAATCTCAAGCCATTTATATTTTGCTATAACTAAGCTAGCTCTCTTGCTTAAGATGGTTTCATCTTCGATAGGTTGAAAGGAGTCTCTTTCTGGCTTATCAGAAGAAAAGGTTCGTGGCCAGATTTCAGAAGCATCTAATTTAAGCTAAACTAAATAATCTTCTAGCTTGCAATATCCTTCCTTGACTGAAGAAATTGTAGGTATTTTTACTCTATTCTCTTTAGATGATCCAAGGAGCTGAAGACTGAACCAAAATTTATAAAGTTCTATATTGATAAAATCTGAATATGGTTTTCCAACCCTATTAGCGACTTTTTCTACAAAACTCCTAAGATCTCTATAGTTAATAAAGTGGGCATAATTATATACAATATGCCAACTACATTTATTAGCATTAGACGAACTAACTAATGCAAAAGCATTTAAAGTTATGAGATGTTTTAAATCAGTATATATAATATCAGCACAGGCAATTAAGATTCTGGATAATAAATCTTTACGAGAAATTTTATTTCCATCTAAAGAAGGGAGTTCAGGATTCATGGGATCAGGATACTGTCTCGCGTCAATGTCCAGAATGAGGCGAAGAGGCAAATTCCCATCAATGCATTCATGAGCATCAGGTAACCTATAAACTTCGGATGGGTGATTTACTACTGTGAATCCCTTACCTGCAACTCGAATAATATATTTATCAAAAATTTTCTCAGAATAATAGGCATCTAGAAGAGCGATATCATCTTTACTATTAGACAGATATTGAAAGTATACATAATTATTATAACCAGGCTCAAAATCAAGGTCCGCTAAACCAGAGAAGAGCCTAATTGCTTCATTTATTTCACTAGGGTTGGGCCCAATATTTTTTTGCACAAGAAGCATGTTAATATATAGAAGAAACTAATATAAATTTACATAGAAAATCCCAAATCTTTAAATAAAAAATTATATGATTCAAAGCAAATATGCTTAGTTAGCAATATGTAGAATCCAAAAATAATCAATATAGTGGGACCCAAAAGTAATCGATAGAGGTACCTAAAAAAGATTTCTGATAAATCAGTAAAATAAGATTCAAAAAAGATTAATATAAAAGTATTACAAAATATTAACTATACGAGAAGGTAAACTAGAGTGAAAAAATAGTAAAATTTTGGTGAAACGCAAAGATAAAATTAATATAGATATAGATATATAAGAAATTATGCTTTTGCATCCCACCAACCTTGGCAATCGAAAGGGTCAGGAAGCTGAAAATGAGAATGAAAAATAAAGTATACTTTTGGTAAGACGCCAAGTTAGAATAATATATAGGAAAAAGAAATAAAAAAAATATAACTTGGCGTTCTACCAACCTCAGCGATCGAAAGGGTCAGGAAGCTAAAAATGAGAGAATTGATGGTGACCCACTCAAGCAGAATTATATAAAGGAAAGAAAAAAAGTTATACTCGAGTGGGTCACAAATTCGGCACTATCAAACAGGTCATAAAAGGCAGGATAGTGTACTAGCCAAGGATGGTACAACACTAGCACCTCATATGTGCTATACCGGCCTCACCTCGGCAGACAAATAGGCCATCTGACGCGATTTTTTTTTTTGCAATAAAAAAAGAAAGCATCAAGACCCGCATCCTTAATAATAAAGTAGACCCCAAACCGGAACCCAAAGTGAAGCAAATAACCCATTGAATGGAAAAACAAGATATGGGAACAGCTAAACCTCTTTAGAGTAAGAGGTCTTTACACTTACTCGAAAGAGAATACTTTTTATACACGTAAGTTATCTATTACGCCACTCGATATAATATTTTTTACACCACTTCGGCATCTAAAAAGGCAACCAAACAGGTGCAAAAAGGTAAGCACTTCGATATAGAATTGGCACCCAAACAAGTGCAAAAATGCAGTAACTATGGTATAAAACTTGGAATCAAAAGAGGTATAGACAACTCGTATCCTCAATATAGAACTAGGCATCCAAACAGGTAAAGAAAGACAATACCAACAATATAAAATTTGACGTGCAAATAGATTGGAAACAAGAAAAAAATAATGATATATAGATCATGCGATAGTAGTTAAATTTAATAGTGGGTAGTAGTTAGATTATATAGTAGTAAAATATGGATACTAGCAAGGGTTTAAATAGGTAGCTAGAGTAAAAAAATAGATACCCAAAATAGAAAAATGTATAAACTATATGATGATAATTAGATTATTTAGATTATTATATAGAGGTAATTAGATTATAATATTAAGATTATATACTGGTACTTATATTATATA